GGGTAGAAAGGGGGAATCAATTACAAGGATCTACATATAACCCCCTCCCTGGGGGATGGACAACAGAAAAGTAGGCAAAGCGAGATGTCAGACAGTGTAAAACATGACAAAATAATAATTTATAAATGATCAAGGGTTCGCAAGGGGGGAGGGCGGGGAGAGATGGGATAAAATGAGGGGCTGATACCAATGGCTCAAGCAGAAAGCAAATGTTTTGAGAATGATGATGGCAACAAATATACAAATGCGCTTGACATAATGGATGTATGTATAGATTGTGATAAGAGTTGTATGAGCCCCCAATAAAATGATTTAAAAAGAGAGAGATGTACAAACATCATCCCCATAATCAGCTGTCCCCAGTATTTGTTCCCTATTTCCCTACAGCCTCCCCCCAGCTCTTGCAACCCCAATAAGCCATTACCCTAGTTATCATCTGTATACATTTGCCTATACTGGACTTCAAATACTGGGAAACACACAAACACAAAACACAACAGCAAATATAGAAAAGGACCAACAATATTAAAATAAGTCAGAGAGAAAACCTCAATTGAGGGGGGAAAAAAGCAGGAAGTATTAAAACCTAGAACAAATTTCCAATGGGTCAAGAGGAAGATCAAATGATCAGATATGACATTTCAACCTAATTACATCTGCCAGCAACAAGTTTACACTCTTCTCTGCCTGATAGCAAGGTAATTCAGCCCTTGACTTTGGTCAGAGGAAATTCACCAGAGGATCAATCCACGTAGAGACCCTGCAAAAGGATTTTGGGCCACCACTGTTATCTATAGCCTTTTGCAAATTGGGTTTTCAAAATTTAAGCCCTGATACCAATCTCTCATTCAGATTTTGATTTTTTTGTTGTTAATTTATCACCCTTGGATCACACAGGCTATGTGTTTCTTCCATGTGGACTTAATTGACATTTCACTTCAATAGCTGCTTTGTTTGCCTATAAACCTTTAAGATCCCAGGCACTATTCTTTTTGGTAGCTGGGCACCATCTGCTTACTTCACCACCCTTTGCTATAGCACCTATATCTTTAGTGATCTCTTCATCAGGGTGAGCATCAAGCAGGGCCATGTCATACAAACTGTTCTCAGAGTGGGGCTGGAATTAAGTGATAGCTCCAAAACCATTCACTTGCCTATGGTGGAAGAGGCAATATTAAAGCGTGTCATATTCCAGGAGATAGGCAGGCTTCACTGCGCCTTTAAGCTCACTGATGCTGCCATAAAATGTCATGGAGATCAGCCTGAGAGGGTTACTCAGGCGC